CACCACCCGGCTCCCGAGCACTGAATGGCGTTGGGAATGGCGCCCCCCCTCCCCCCCCTGCAGACCGACCCCCCCCCCCCAGCTCCCGAACACTGAATGGCGTCCTCCCCACCCTCCCCCCCTGTCCACGGCTCCCCCAGCAGCGACCCCCCCCCCCCGTCCCGAGCGTTGATTGGCGTCAGAAATGCGCCCCCCCCCCCAGCAGCGAACGCCCCGGGTCCCGAGCACTGAATGGCGTCGGGAATGGCGTGCCCCCTCCCCTCTGTCCACGGCTCCCGAGCAGCGACCCTCCCCCCTGGGTCCCGAGCACTGAATGGCGTCGGAAATGGCGTGCCCCCCCCCCCCCCCCCCTGTCCACGGCTCCCGAGCAGCGAATCCCCCACCCAGGCCCCGAACACTGAATGGCGTCGGGAACGGCGTCCCCTCCCCCTTTCTGTCCACGGTTCCCGAGCAGCGACCCCCCTTCCCTGGGTCCCGAGCATTGAATGGCGTCGGAAATGGCGTCCCCCACTTGCTTAGCGAAACTTGACCGAACTCGAGTCTACGCGTTCACGAACTCACACGCCAGATCGGCGGATCTGTCAGGGGTCGTGAGCGTTGTGTGGGTGCGAAGATCAGCAGATGCGCACATCGTGGCATTTTTTCCCAACACTTCTTGGTTGGGTATTCGTTTTGAATACGGCACTGCGGTCTCCAGTCCTCCTCCCGCCTCTCGCCTCTCGCTTTCCTCTTGTCTCCTCATATATTGTGCGTACCTCGTGTGTGTGTGTGTGTATGTGTGTGTAGGTATGTGTGTGTGTGTGTGTGTGTGTGTGTGTGTGTGTGTGTCTGTGTCTGTGTCTGTGTCTGTGTCTGTGTCTGTGTCTGTGTCTGTGTCTGTGTCTGTGTCTGTGTGTGTGTGTGTGCGTGTGTGTGTGTGCGATCTGCGACACTGTCGCCACTTTCGAGGGCTGCTGGTGGGTCCTGCGGGCTGAGGCACCGCGGGGATCTAAGCGAGAGCTCGCCGTCCCTGGGGGGGGGGGGCTGCGATCTGCGACGCTGTCGCCACTTTCGAGGGCTGCTGGGCCCTGCGGGCTGAGGCACTGCGGGGACCTGAGCGAGACCTCGCCGTCCCTGGGGGGAAGGACGGGGGTCTGCGATCTGCGTCGCTGTCGCCACTTTCGAGGGCTGCTGGTGGGTCCAGCGGGCTGAGGCACCGCGGGGACCTGAGCGAGACCTCGCCGTCCCTGGGGGGGGGGTCTGCGACCTGCGACGCTGTCGCCACTTTCGAGGGCTGCTGGTGGGTCCTGCGGACTGAGGCACCGCGGAGATCTGAGCGAGACCTCGCCGTCCCTGGGGGGGGGAGGCGCAGCGATCTGCGACGCTGTTGCCACTTTCGAGGGCTGCTGGTGGGTCCTGCGGGCTGAGGCACCGCGGGGATCTGAGTGAGACCTCGCTGTCCCTTGGGGGGGCTGCGATCTGCGTCGCTGTCGCCACTTTCGAGGGCTGCTGGTGGGTCCTGCGGGCTGAGGTACCGCGGGGATCTGAGCGAGACCTCGCCGTCCCTGGGGTGGGCTGCGATCTGCGACGCTGTCGCCACTTTAGAGTGCTGCTGGTGGGTCCTGCTGGCGGAGGCACAGCGGGGATCTGAGCGAGACCTCGCCGTCCCTGGGGGGGGGCGCTGCGATCTGCGATGCTGTTGCCACTTTCGAGGGCTGCTTGTGGGTCCTGCGGACTGAGGCGCTGCGGGAATCTGAGTGAGACCTCGCCGTCCCTGGGGGCGGGGGCTGCGATCTGCGACACTGTCGCCACTTCCGAAGGCTGCTGGTGGGTCCCACGGACTCAGGCACCGCGGGGATCTGAGCGAGACCTCGCCGTCCCTGGGGGGGCGCTGCGATCTGCGACGCTGCCGCCACTTTCGAGGGCTGCTGGTGGGTCCTGCGGGCTGAGGCACCGCGGGGATCTGAGCGAGAACTCGCCGTCCCTGGGGGGGGAGAGGGGCTGCGACCTGCGACGCTGTCGCCACTTTCGAGGGCTGCTGGTGGGTCCTGCAGACCGAGGTGAAGCGGCGATCTGAGCGACACCTCGCCGTCCCTGGGTAAGGTGGGAAGGGGGGGGCTGCGATCTGCGACGCTGTCGCCGTCCTGCGGGCTGAGGCACGGCGGCTGAAGTACCACGGAGATCTGAGCGAGACCTCGCCGTCCGTGCGGGAGGGGTGGGGTTGGGGGGATCTGCGATCTGCGACGCTGCCGCCACTTTCGAGGGCTGCCGGTGGGTCCTGCGGACTGAGGCACCGCGGGGATCTGAGCGAGACCTCGCTTTCCCTGGGGGAAGGGGGAAGGTCTGCGATCTGCGACGCTGTCGCCACTTTCGAGGGCTGCTGGTGGGTCCTGCGGACAGGCACCGCGGTGGTTTGAGCGTGACCTCGCCGTCCCTGGGGGAGGGGGGGGGGCGATCTGCGACGCTGTCGCCACTTCCGAAGGCTGCTGGTGGGTCCTGCGGACTGAGGCGCAGCGGGGATCTGGGCGAGAACTCGCCGTCCCTGGGGGTGCAGCGATCTGCGACGCTGTCGCCACTTTCGAGGGCTGCTGGTGGGTCCTGCGGGCTGAGGCGCCGCGGGGATCTGAGCGAGACCCTGCCGTCCCTGGGGGGGAGGGTGGAGGGGTGCGATCTGCGACGCTGCCGCCACTTCCGATGGATGGCTGCTGGTGGGTCCTGCGGACTGAGGCACTGCGGGAATCTGAGTGAGACCTCGCCGTCCCTGGGGGCGGGGGCTGCGATCTGCGACACTGTCGCCACTTCCGAAGGCTGCTGGTGGGTCCCACGGACTCAGGCACCGCGGGGACCTGAGCGAGACCTCGCCATCCCTGGAGGGGTCTGCGATCTGCGACGCTGTCGCCACTTTCGAGGGCTGCTGGTGGGTCCTGCGGACTGAGGCACCGCGGGGACCTGAGCGAGACCTCGCCGTCCCTGGGGGGGGGGGGGCGCTGCGATCTGCGACACAGTCGCCACATTGGAGGTCTGCTGGTGGGTCCTGCGGACTGAGGCACCGCTGGGATCTGAGCGAGACCTCGTCGCCCCTGGGGTGGTTGCGATCTGCGACGCTGTCGCTACTTTCGATGGCTGCTGGTGGGTCCTGCGGGCTGAGGCGCTGCGGGGGCCTGGGCGAGACCTCGCCGTCCTAGGGGGGGGGCTGCGATCTGCGACACTGTCGCCACTGTCGAGGGCTGCTGGTGGGCCAAGCGGAATGAGGCACCGCGGTGACGTAAGCGATACCTCGCCGTCCATGGAGGGGGGGGGGCTGCGATCGGAGACACGGCCGCCACTTTCGAGGGCTGCTGGTGGGTCCTGCGGGCCAAGGCGCTGCGGGGACCTGAGCGAGACCTCGCCGTCCCTGGGGGGGGGGCTGCGATCTGCGACACTGTCGCCACTGTCGAGGGCTGCTGGTGGGTCCAGCGGAGTGAGGCACCGCGGGGGCCTGAGCGAGACCTCGCCGTCCCTGGAGGGGGCTGCGGTCTGCGATACGGTCGCCACTTTGGAGGGCTGCTGGCGGGTCCTGCGGATTGAGGCACCGCGGGGACCTGAACGGGACCTCGCTGTCATTGGGGGGCTGCGATCTGCGACGCTGTCGCCACTTTCGAGGGCTGCTGTCGGGTCCAGCGGGCTGAGGCACCGCTGAGATCTGAACGAAACCTCGCCGTCCCTGGGGGGGCTGCGATCTGCGACGCTGTCGCCACTTTCGGGGGCTGCTGGTGGGTCCTGCGGGCTGAGGCACCGCGGGGATTTTAACTAGACCTCTCCGTCCCTGGGGGGCTGCGATCTGCAACAGTGTCGCCACTTTCGATGGCTGCTGGAGGGTCCTGCGGACTGCGGCGCCGCGGGGATCTGAGTGAGACCTCGCCGTCCCTGGGGGGCTACGGTCTGCGACACGGCCGTCACTTTCGAGGGCTGCTGTTGGGTCCAGCGGGGTGGGGCACCAAGGGGACTTGAGCGAGACCTCGCCGTCCCTGGGGGGGGGGGGGCTGTGGTCTGCGACACGGTCGCCACTTTCGAAGGCTGCTGGTGGGTCCTGCGGATTGAGGCACCGAGGGGACCTGAGCGAGACCTCGCCGTCCCTTGGGGGCTGCGATCTGTGACACTGTCGCCATTTTCGAGGGCTGCTGTTAGGTCCTGCGGGCTGATGCACCGCAGGGACCTGAGCGAGACCTCGCCGTTCCTGGGGGGCAGCGATCTGCGACGCTGTTGCCACTTTCGAGGGCTGCTGTTGGGCCCAGCGGAGTGAGGCACCGCGGGAACCTGAGCGAGACCTCGCCGTCCCCGGGAGAGGTTGCGTTAGTAACCACTACGACGTTGTTATATCTTGATCGGGGGCCTGCGAGCTTTCCGATTACTGCGCGTAAAATCACATGCGTCCATGTTACGTCATCGCCCCCGTTGTAGCAATCCTGATGTTATTATGCCCAGCATTGCGCAAGGGTCGGGTATGTCGCCAGGGTAATTTGACATAGGGTGGTGAATGCTGTGTTGTTGTGGGGATCAGCCGATGTCTACCACATTGTATGTTCTGAATACGATCGTGACAGTTGGGTTGGTGTGAAGATTTGGGGAGGCGCACATAATCGCATTTCTTGTATAAGATGCGGTGTTGGGTCGTTGTGAAGATCAACCAGTGTCCCGCAATTCTTTTTTGGCACAGGATGGAGGGCCTGTCGCGGCCGGGGGCTGGATTTGGGGTGGTATGGGCGGTGCGGGGCTGGCCGCGGCAGCGAATCTGGGTCATATAATGCCAGGATTAGAAACGCGGGTTTTTGGGTTACGGCATAATGTTTAGGGTTCTTGGTCGGCTTGTTCGGAAAGTGGTCCACCAGAGTTCTTGCAAAGGGAGTCCTTCATAATGAATTGTTCGGATGATCTTGCCCGGAACTATCGTCCATTCAGCGCCGATCCAAGAACTTCGCGCGGACCTCCGAAAGTTTAGTTTTACGCAATTTTTCGTTCCTCGGCACATGCTGGCGGACCAGACGAGGCAGCTGCAGGCCTCCTTCGTGGAGGAATCCCAGAAACAGCAGGCGCTGGCGGCGCAGGTGAACGACGCAAAACAATGGGGCCGTCTTCGCCGACGTTGACGCGCGAGCTGCCCGCGCAAGGTCGCGCGGAAGCGTCCTCGTTTGCAATGTAGCGTGCCACGCGGGCGACCCGCGTAAGCCACTGCGTAAGGTCGCTGTGTCATCTCGCGTGCCCCGAGATCCGACGGCGCGAAAAACGTGGAGCACTGTAAGCCATCCCAGCTGTGAGCCCGCTACCCCATCTTGGTGCGCCATCTTTCGGGCCGCATCGATCTGTCTGTGAGGGTCCCGGGGCCCGACGCCGGGCGAACACGCCCAGCCCCAGCCAGAGTGAGATGCCAGGGTCGAAGGGTAGGACCCGTTTCTCTTCGTCGTCGCAAAAGGTGCAGCCGCTGCTGTTTGGAGGAGGGGAGTCGAGCGGACACCACCATGCCACAGCACCGTGCGTGAAGCAAGCCTGCTGACAGCGAAACAAAAAAGGTGCAGCGGCTGCTGGCGGAGCACCCGCAGCAGCTGCGGGGGGGCGCCGCGGAGGAGGCGCGGCAGCCGCGGCGTCGCTCGTGTTCCTCGTCCTCGTCGTCGTCGTCCTCGTCGTCGTCGTCGTCGTCGTCGTCTTCGTCGTCGTCGTCGTCGGGCCCCCCCGCGGCACGCGCTGAGGCCCAGGAAAACCACGATGAGGCGCAGCTCGACGAGGTGGCGTGGGGGGGCCGCCTGGCGGAGCTGCTGGAGCGGGAGATGGAGGATCGGGGGCAAAAGGTAGGCTTATGGGGGGACACCAGACATATCGGGGGCGGCCAAGAAGGGGGGTGATGACTAGGGGGAGGTGAATATCATGCCGCGGGCCATGGCATCTCCCCAGATTTCATGGCGCCTCTTCTTATTTCAATACGCCCCCGCCCCCCCCCCCCTGGGCCGCGCACATGCCGCCGGCCATGATTTGCGCTCCCCCCTCTTGGACGCGCCCCTCTTGGCCCCCCTAGGGGCAGAGGCAGGTTTACAGGGGGTCCCATGCCAAGAAACGCCCTGCTTGCCCGCAGGATGCCCTTGATTTCCTGGGCGTCGATGGTTTTGCGATGGAGAGATCGCGACGTTCCCACACCAGAAATCGATGGACGTCCTGGGGTCTCAGGGTTGGGTTTCTTGTGGAAGGTTTCTGTTGATCGGGGCCCCACTGTACGGGGGCACACCAGACATGTTCAGGAGGAAAAGAAACACACAGACACAATTAATCCTCGATTCCCCAGAAAATATGGGAAAATATGGAAGTGGGGGGGAAGACAGAAACCCAGAAAATATAGGAAAATATGGGGAATATCTTTATTTGTGTGTATTTATTTGTGTGTCCTGGGGCCCCTTCACATGTTCCCGACGTGGCAAAATCAGGACGGGCGGTTTTGTCGCGCCGCTTCCGGCCTCCGGAGGCCCTCGCTGGGCCCGGGGACCGTGAAGAAGTAATTCCGGATGGAGAGCCGGCCCCGGGGGAGAGGTCGGGACTTCCGGGCTCCGCGTGCTGAACAAGATCATGACGTCGCATGTTTGGGACAGGCTCAGGGGCGGAGGCCTAGATCACCACCCACCAAACCACCCCAACCCAACCCGAAGGCTCAGATTTACCCTCGATTTCCAGTGGGGGGGGGTCGGGAAACATTGAAAAAACACATATGGAACCCTTACCCCCCCCAACCCGAAATTCGGGTCTTCGGGTTGGGTTGGGGTGGTCTGGTATGAGTAGTTTCCCGTGGAAGCCTGCTTTCCTTGCTCAGAACGAAATAAGGAAAACCAAACAGTGGGCGAGTCTAAAGCAACCTCGTGGGGTACCTACGATGCGCGTCAACGTTTGCGACGGTCCTTGGCCCATACTTCGCCAGATTATTGTTAAATTAGATAGCGAACAAACCTCCTCCTCTTCCCCTTCACCCACGTACTTTTTCGAGTTGAGTTTGCGGATTACTTCTCCTCCTCCTCCTCCTCCTCTTCCTCCTCTCTCGTCCTTCTCTTCCGCCCTTTTACATCAGCCCGAGTCCTTGACCACCGCTGCCACGCCGACGCGTCGGGGATTGTCGTTTGTACGCGGCCGTCGTCGTTGCTGAGGAAGAGAACAACTGGGAATGGGGAGGAGAAATAGGAGCATACACGATGTCCCTTCTATGATTGTGCGTTTGCACCAAATTCCTTGCATGCTGTAGGATATGATCGGGATGCATCGCGCAAGCCTAGGAATCACTGGGCTGTCTTTCGCGGGTTGTCTTAGGCAATGCCGTCTAAGGTTGCCTTCATGGCCATCTAGGAAAACTTTGGGCCGCCATAGGCTGTCTTGGGCTGTCTTGAGGCCATCTTGATTTGTCTCAGGTCGTCTTGTATTTGGGCTGTCTTGGACCGCCGTAGGTTGTCTTCATGGCGTCGCTGCTTGAGCCATGTTGGGGCTATCTTAGGCCGTCTTGGAATGTCTTAGGCCGTCTGGTGTTCTCTTCTTGGGCCTTCGTGGATTCCTGAATCACGTTGTTGCTGATCCATCTTTCCTGCGCTTACCCCCCACTTGTGTCGAAGCCATTTTTGGCTGACAGTTTGTCGCTGACAGTTTGTCACAATGAAGCTGCTGATTCAAATCACTGCATGGTGCATGATGAATCGCCAACCAATTTGGATTTGTTCTCAGATGAACCCTCGTGCAGTCAACTCTCTTCCTGGTCTCAGTGAAGCAGAACTGAGAATCGATGCTGTTGGAGGAGCTGCGCATTTTCGCACCCTCGCGACGACTGTGCCTCCCTGTCACACTGGACAGATTGTTGCGCTCGTAGTGGTTTCGAAACGTTGTCACGCAATCGATCGTCTGACTCAACTTTCAGAGGAAGATCGTTACAGCTGGGAGTGCGCCGGGAAGGAAGCATCAAGCTTGTGGGATGTCGATTTGGCACTGACCCTGCAGCAGCCCCAGCGGGCTCATCACGCTGGCAAGCACATGTTCCCAACCAGCACCATTTTTGTGCTTGCAGATGCGCTAATCAACGACCTGATGCAGAATCCTCAAGTGCAAGACTTCTTGCACAACTCTGGCTTCGCGGATGCGGTTCCACGATCAGCACTTCAATTGCACCCGCAGGTTGCAGCATTGATTGCCGCGAAATGTTGGAGTGTCGTTTGCGTGAAACACACATGCAAGATTGACAAGGGCTCGGATTTTTCATGTTGGCGGAGCCGTAACCAGGGAGGGTTTCAGATACGTCAGAATCAAGCCAGAGCCGAAGCTGATGGAGATGACACGTTTTCATGGTATTGCCCTTCGACATTTAGAGGCTTGGCTGACGCTATACGGTTGATGAATGCTGCCATTGCCAACCCGCTCGACGACGAAATGGATCGCCAATCTTACGCCGAACGCTGCGACCACTGGATCGGCGTTGCCGAGAGGATCGCGGATAGTTTGGACGTGACCCGGCTGAACCTCACAACGAAAGCTCACGGTGGCAAACGTTATACATTAGATTTCTTGATCAAGGTCGTGCTGTTCGCAAACGTGTTGCGGAATGACAACGAATTGGTGCAAGCTATGAAGCTCGCCGTCAGTGTCACGTTGCCTCCGTCCATTGCGCAGTATTACATCAAAGTATTGAGCGATGGGACCTTGAGGATGCCAAGGCCGAGCACGATATCGCATATGAGGTTTACGCTTGACATGTCTATCATGATTTGGCAGCAGAGGGAAGTTGATGCATTGCGGGCTGACCTGATATCACCATGCTTGTACTTGATGAGCGATTCGTCTCCGCAAGGCGGTGTCAATTGGCAGATATCTTCCTACGACCTGATCGCTGGATCTGCGTTATGTGAGCTTGCCAAGGGTGCGAAATCGTTCGTTCTGTATTGTGCGAACCTTGCCAGGACTTGTCCTTCTGAACGGCAGTCGTCGGAACCGCCGATGGCGATGGCCCCAGGTCCACTTACCAAATGATGACGTTTTCCGTTTTTTACTTTTGCTGCTTTCACGGCGAGTGATTGGGGAGTTCTGGGGCGTGTCCGATTCCGAAAAAGATGGGCGGGTTGTTCCATTGCGGTTGCTGTTTAGATGGTCATCCCAGGATGCGGTACAATGGCAAGCTAGTGGCGACAGATGCGGAGCTTGAGCGCATGAGCGAAATGAGAAAATGTATCAAAAAGGTGTACTGCGTGCCAACAGGGTTGGGAACTAGGCGCGCGAGCTTGGGTCACAAGATGCATTGTTTATACCATCAACTTTTTCTCAACACGTCGTCGCTGTCTTCTTTGCGCTGGTACTGTACATGCGTTGTTTCTTGCACCACGGACCAGGGAACTGAGGCGAGCATCTGTGGAGCGCCCCCAGTTCGATTTCGAGACTTATTTCCGTATTTCAACCCGGGCATTGTGGATGACGATGCGGACGATGATAGTGATATCCCTTTGGGCTTGCAGGGTTCACTACAGATCCCAGGAGGTATTCATATAGTCCACAACGCTACCAAGGGTTGCCTGTATGCCATGAGCAACTTCGACGAGACGCGTGGCCAGATCAGCGCGGTTGCCAAGTTCTTGCATCAAAGGTGGACAAGGGACCAGTTCTCAGCGCTGTGTATATCTGGGGGGCCTTACGACGTCTTTTCTTCACTATTCGATTCTTTCGACGCTACCTTGATTGGTTGGCGCTGGGGCTCAGTGACGAGAGTGGTGAACCTGTTGCTTGCCAGGGAAGTGCCTCTCCGAGGAGCTTGGAATGCTGACCGCATGCTTCAGCAGGGGCCGCCAGTTCGCCATCGCAACCCGAACGCATACCCAGCCACAATCAGGGAGGTCAACGATGCGATCAAGAGCAATGCATTTTGGGAGCACCTGCGCATGATAAAGGAGCTCGCCGATTGCACGGCGAGGATGATCTCATGGATGGAGTCTTGCCCGTGCCATTGGAATGTTCACCCGCGCTCCTTCGCAGGGCCCGAGGTGGATGGTTCTCTCAACCCTGATGTTCTTAGGTGCAGCTGTCCCTTGAACGCGCGGCGGGGCGTCGAGATGGCAACTGGTGACTTTGATAGGTTTGCTCGATGTCTACTTGACAGAGCAGGTGGCAGCATTATGCGATGCATTCACTTCCTGTCTGTTGAGCAGCAGCTTAAGATCCTGGAAGATTTTGAAGCTGGGAGAACGCACATCCTGATGCACCTTGACATCAAGACGTCAGTATGGCAGCAGCTTCCACTGCTTCTTTGCGGCCTCGGCCACTGGGATCCCGTTCAAGCAAGGAGCTGCGCTCACAAAGCCTCCGCTCAGTGGAGGCGCATGACGGGCGATCTCCGCGAGAGCGCACATGCCATCACCAAGGCGGTGTTCAGAGATGATCCCCAACTGAGTTCTGAGATGAGGAGGTTTCGCATGGGAGCCGAACTTGCAGACTTGCCATGCTTAGAGACTTTGTCAGCACGTTTGCTTTTTGTCTTGGTTTCAGAGCGCGGCGCTGAACGGCCTCACGCACTTATGCACAAGGAGATTTCTCATGCGCCAAGTGCTAGCGCTCCATATCTTAGTCTGTCGTTGCGTCTGGGCAGCTTGAAATCTAGCCTCATCGACAACCCATCGGAATTGACAGCGTTAGCCAAGATCTGCACTGGCGTCTACCACCCCCTGACTGCAGCGCCAGCTTTGAGAGTTGAGTCCCATCCCGATTTAGACGAGGCATGGCGATCTGCAGTCGATGCCAGCACTGATGAAGTATCTCTCGTGCTTGGCTCAACCAA